TAGATTTTGTGGTTTCGGGATTGGATCAAACCTTGGATACCAGGCTAGATTAGGGATCGTTCTTGATTTTCTGGGATTCAAACTTATCGATAGCGACTTGAAGCTCATCTGAACCTCCAACAGCTCTCATGGTGTAGAAATACACCCCAAATACGAACCCAGTTAAGCCTCCAGCTACGACCATATTCTTGGTCTTGGGTGCCAGCCTCCCAAATCCAGCCATTCGAATCAATAAACAATCACGTCTCTAGTTATCACAACCTATATAAGAACCAATAGGACCGAAATTGTGAGCCAGTCATTTAATAAAATGGGAAGGGAACTCAAACTTAGAGAAAGGATGTACAATGCAAATGAACCGGACATGACTGAACTGGACAAGATCAAACAGGCAAGAGTGAGGTATGCAGGTGAAAGAATTGTGAAAGGTTTTAAGGTTTTAATTTGACATGGGTAGTTTAGTAATTTACCAATTTTGCCCCCATCTCCCTGAATTTTGTTTGTAATTTGTACCACTCAATCCTGTCATGTCCCGGTCCAAATGTTGCACCAAATGTGAAACAACAGATTTTTGTCCAACATACCAAACGCACCCTAAAGGCATGATGCAAAAAGGTCTTTCCAAGGCATAGGGACAAAGCATAATGTACGCCTCTTCGTTTTGTGAAACATAAGAAATAACAAAGAAGAACACCCTGGATGCTGCAAAAATGAGCAACTTCGGATAAATTGACAAAATATAAATGCAATAAACATTATACACGACACTTATCGACCAAAATTGCTCATTTTTGCAATGTGTTTGCGCTTTTCGTTTTGCATTTTCACATGCATGAAGGTCTGTTTGAAACAAAAAGCCATGGATGATTAGCAAGACGAGCTGGTTCAGGAAAAAGACTAGCTAGAACAAGCTTAGCAGAACCAACTCGTTTGACTACCCCAGGCGAGCTTGAGCCTAGTATGGTTCGAAATAGACAACTTAGTGAGCCTGGAAGAGCCAGGTCTTTCAAGCCCATCAAGCTTATTTGAAATCCATGATGCCTATTAATTTAGTTTACCGGTCTTACCCTCACATGTAATTTGTTCAATGCTTAAGCTTATACAATCCCATAGAAACTGGGTACATACAATATAAGCCATTGCTCAAGCTTATATGACATAGGTGTGTTTGGTACACCGGACAGAATAGGACAAGAGGAGTGCTCAAAAAACCGACCAACCTGGCCAACCCAATCCAAAAAAACTCAACCCACGGTAATCCGATACATAGTTGATACAAAATTAGGCCAAACCGCATCTATTGGGTATTAGGGTTGGAACTGGGTTAGGGTAATTTAAATCGAACCCAAACCGATGAACACGATGCTTTTCTATACTACAAATATATGTAAATTAGACATTACACCAACCCGTAATTAGCTATATTCAAAATTATATTACAATTTTAATCGTAATTTTACTTTCTTATTTACATGAACTTTCAACATTTTTTGAGTTTGGTCGCCTTTTTTGTATGTTCTCATTTTGATTTTATTTCGTTTAAACAGAACGCTTAGCTAGATCGTAAAATTATATTACCAAAGTTTCAACCCGAGTACCCGACCAACTCAACTCAACCCGCACGTTTTGAGTTGGGTTGGGTTGTAGTTTGTTTGAGTTGGGTTCGGTTGAGATTTTTCAAACAACAAACATTGGGTTGGGTTGTTCAAATGTTTTCAACCTGGCCATCTCAACCCATGTGCAGCCCTAGACAAGACAGACAAATATTTGTTGTTCCATGTTTGATGGAGACTATAACAGAGTAGGACAAAAAAAATTGGTCCGAGTGAGAAAAAACCAAATTAGGTGGAACAAAAATTAAGGAAGACAGCATGGACAGACCCAGGAGCGTTGGTTGTGGCACATGCCACTGTAGTGTCCCTCCATCATTAGGTAAAAAAAAGTAGGTTCGTAAAATGTGCAACAATATTATTGTTTTAGAAGGTGAAACCATTTTATATGGTGCCACTGCATCGAAAATTTTCTGAGACAATCCAAAAGACAGGTCAAGATAGATAAATTACTAACTATACACATATCACATTAAAACCTTAGCATAATTATTTGAGCCAACTTCACTTTCATAATCATAGGCTCATAGCCATAGGATAATACATGTAAGCCAAGGCAAGGCCGGAGCCTTAGACCAGCAGAGATTGAGCCTAATCTTATCAGGATTGGCAATCCACAAGCCAAGCCCAAGGGCACATAATTTCTTAAGCACAATATGATGCCTCATACATTGAATTCTAAACAAAAATCATACAAAATAATCTTGAAATAGACAGCAAAGCATAAATAATCAAAAGAAATTGAGCTCATGACGTGTTCTGCTAAACAAACTCATCAACATATCTGAAACAGATTCAAGTTGGGTCCAAAAACCATCAGAAATCCACACACACACCAAAAAGGGAAGAGGCGAAAGGTGAAGAGTGTGTAGGATTAAAAAGTTGAGCTACTTGGACTTAAAATGAACAGATTGAGAGCCCTAAAACGAGAGAAAAGAGGCGAACGGAGATTACCTGAACCTGAAGCGAGAAGACGAACAGCAAAGCAGGAAAAGTGATCAAGAGGTATCTTCGAAGCCTGTTGCCCTAAAACAGGATACCTATCAAATTGTTTTATAAATAAAATAACTAATATTATAATTTTCTTAAGATATATTTTAAAAAACTAGTTGAAACGTACAAAAATATCCTATAAACTTATTGTAATTTTTAAATATGACATTTTATAGTTCGATCATATAAATTTAATTATTATGAAATATTTCATTTATCAAGATGTATCTACTAACTCGTCTTCCAACCCAACTCAACCAACAAGGGTTAGTTGTACTAATGTTATATTTTTTAATGAGTTGAGTTAGATTTTTCAAAACCACCATAATTGGTTTGAGCTGTAAAAATGATGTAAACCATCTAACCCACCCGTAAAGGTTGGGTTGGATTATAATTTCGAATGAATTGGGTTGGGTTTGACAGTTTTTCAAACTGTCATAATTGGGTTGAATTGTAAAAGTGTTGTAAACTAATCATCCAAAGCCATGCACTGATGTACACCTGTAGCCCTAAATTGGCAATCCCCTTCTCTCAGTTAGGCCGCTTGGTAAATAACTAATAATTTTATCCTGAAACATAACAATGACGGTTAACTTATCCGGTAAGTGAGAGAAATGATTCTTAGTCCACAAATATTTACAGGGTAAAACATGTTTACCAACAATCCATTTCAATTATATATATATATATATATATATATATAAGAGCTTAATCAAATGATAACTAATTAGTTTGTGGTAACTGTGAGAACCAATATTAACCACAAATCAATAGATAAATTAGGAAATTTATAATTTTGGCAATTTTGAATTAAAATTTTAATGCAAGGATATTTTTTGTATTTTACAACTTTCCTCCCTCCTCTCTTCTCTCTCCGGCCACCGTTCGCCGGCCACCGTCCTCCGATGATACTACAATGGTATCACAATGCATCATATATGTGCTTGGGTATCACATTGATGTCGTTTGTGTGGTCGATCGAAGATGTAACACAGTGGTATCACTATGCATCTTATATATGATTAGGTATCACAATGTATCTTTTGTTTAACAGAATCAATATTTTTAGGTATCACAGTGGTATCATAGTGGTATCACCGGAGGACGGTGGCCGGACAGAGAAGAGACGAGAGATGAGAGTTTTAAAATACCAAAAATATCCTTGCATTAAGATTTTAATTTAAARTTACCAAATTTATAAATTTCCTAATTTATCTATTGATTTGTGGTTAATATTGGTTCTCACAATTACTACAAACAACTCAGTTCTCCCTTAAATAGGTCCCTATATATATATACATACATATATATATATATATACATATATATATATATATATATCGCTATTCAATAAGGTAAATGAAGGTAAATAACAAAATATTTTTTATTTTTCAAGTAATTTCAATAAAAAAAAAAGAATTGTAACGTGATATGAAAATTGAATAAAATTAGAGTAAAATACGTTTTTAGTCCTTGTGGTTTGTAGAAATTCTATTTTCGTACTTAAGGTTTTTGAATTATAATTTTTATCCTTGTGGTTTATAATTCATTACCTTGTTTGTATTTATGATTTAAAATTTATCATTTTTTTTGTTCTTATAGTTTAGAATTCTTTTTTATTTTAGTTTTTCATGCTTAAGGCTGCATTTGGTACATGCAACAGGACATGACAGGATGAGAAAAAAACTCAATGTTTCATGTTTCGCGCAGCATGGAACAGAACAAGAACTCACTGTCCCATGTTTTGGTGTGAACGAGACAGAGACAATAACGGGGACAAAGTGAGACAAGATGGAAAAAAGAAGCTTTTTCTTGTTTTGTCTAGTTCAGTCATGTCCAATCATGTTTGCATATCAAATGCTACATAAAAGTACTGTTGTGACATCATGAACTAAAATAGAAACGAATTACAAACCATAAGGAATCTTATTCCTGGTTATATAGAGAGATTATCTTCATCACATAATTAATGGTAGAAGGAGAAAATAAACATTTTATTTTGAGACAAACTAAAATAAATATGCTATTTTTTTTTATTAACCTGGATATCCAACCCACTATGTAAGCTAACTAATCCCAAGACAATCATCTGTTTTGCGGGTAGCCTGAGGTCAGTGCATTTGAATCTTTATGGCCACAAGAAGATTTTTATTTCTCATTGAATTTGAATCTGTGATCTCCATATACTTTTCACCTCTAAAGCCAAGCTCAAATTAATCAGATACCACAATTAAACGATACATATTTAAAAAAAAATATTTATTGCCAAATATAATAATTAAAAAATAAGAAGAGAAATAAAATAAAATGAAGATGAGGTGATGTTACAACACGTAAGGTTACCAATTTGCCATCCCTTTTTAATATAAAATTAAAAAGGAGCATTCATATTCATATATTTTCTGGATTTTAACACCAGAACCGTGAAAGGCACCCAACCTCCCTGACCGACGGCCGGTTTTTTCGTCGCCGCCTCTAAGAACACCATCTTCTCCGATGAAATAAGCGAAATTTATTAGGCACTTTGCCGCAATCGGAGGGATTTCCCTGTGAATTCATACCTAATAACTGCAAGCCGTTTAGGTCTCTCCATTCTCGTTGCAGATTCTTACAGATCCAAGAACATTTATTCTTCTTCATCCGATCAGGTTTTGTTAAGGTACAAAACCGCTAGTTATCTAATTGTAATTTAATTCATCATTGCTGTACGTCACCTCTTTGTTTTTGACTCATCCAGCGTAAAAACGAACTGGAGACCATATTGTTATTTAGGGCAAACAAAGATAATGCTAGGAAGCTGATGCAAATAGTAGATAATACTGAATTATGGTACTAGTTTGTGCTTCCTTCTGATTATCCTGTTCGATGACTGTATACACATTATGGATACGCTATCTTTTTCTTCTTTTATTTTCGGTTAAGAGTTGATTAATACGTTTTTGTTATAGGGAGATAGCGGTATAGAATTGTGTTGCGTAAGTACGCTTCTATATTTGTGTTCTCTAGAACTTCTTATGTGTGGTTCTTTGATGGAATGGCGACAATGATGTGTTTGTGAGTCATGCTGGCTGTTGTACTGTGCAGAAGATAAGAATTATTGAGTTCACACATCGGTCCTATTGAATATAATTGTATTTTTGAGAAATAATTGTTGTCTTGTTCGTTATCAACAGAAACTTCAGTTAGCTAATTTATGAATATTAATTGGCCTTGGTAAAATATGCTCTCAAGGGTTGAGAAGGTTATGCACATCATGCTTCTGTAATACCTGATGCAGTAATAATATTTGAGCATATTTTCATCATCATGCAAGAAGACTACCATATAGCAGGGTTTCCTCTAGCAGCTCCATCTGTGTTGACCATGTACTTTCATGTAATTTACTACCACGAGGTATCAAGCAGTCTGTCCATGAGCATACATAAACCGTGGGTTAACGCTGTCCTAGGCAATGTTTTATTGGTTAGCACAAACAATTGCTGGTAGTCTGTTATGCACTGTCTTTAAAAGAAAGATTTTGATTCAAATAGCTGTTCCGACCTTTCAGGCTTCTAGATTCCCAGGTGTACACTTTTTTGTGAAAATGAAGGGGTTACTGTGAAAAGTTGTGACTGCAGATTTGACTACAAACATGCCTATGGGTTTATGTATCCTGAATGTGTGTTTTAGCTATAGGGTAGCTGATAACAGGCTCCAGTTTTTTCTGATTGTTTGTCTCATTGTATGAAGTTGACCCCTTCATGTTTGATGGTGACTTTGACACTTTGTCGTCTGTGTTCCTGCCGAAGAAGGGTGTATGCATCCTGAAGGTAGGACTGTTTAGCTTTAGCAAAGTGAATACCAATTTCCAAGTTAGGCTGTTGATGTAGGACAGAATTAGGGTCCGAAAATTGGGAAAAACAACTGAAATATGGTGCAAGTTTGAATGAACACTTATCAAGAAGTTGACGATGTTGCAGTACTGACATATGGATATGAGTGTCTATTTTCTTTTGCCACAGACATCATGTTCTGTCCAGAAATGAAATGGACTCGTACTGATATAATTATTGGTCTAATTCATCTTATTGGTTTGGTTATTTAATCTTTTGATATAGCCCTATTAATGTATGTTGTGATTTTATCTTCTATGTCTGTAATGTGAGTACACCCCCCCCCCCCCCCCAAAAAAAAAAAAACAAAGAAAAATGTAAAAGTTAAAAAAAGCTGCATTCTTTTTGTAGGCTTTCGATCAACATGCAATGACAGGACGGAAGTTTTATACTTGAAAAATATGAAGTTTTGAAACTCCACTTGACAAAACCCCCAGTTCACTCATGTCCAGGGAATGTGTGGTAGTGTCATTTGTGGGGTACACCTCTGTGAGAAGGATCTGATAATTGTTTTTTGGTTGTACAGTTGCATTGCTTTACTATGTCATCATTAAAGTCAACTTCAAAGGCTGTAAGGCAGTTGATTATATGCAAAAATGGTGGCACACGGTTAGTGAGATGCTTACAGAACAATCCTGAACTGGAAACTTGTGTTCAGAGTCGGTATTTTAGGAGCATCGGAAGTGTTGAAACATTGCCATCTTCCTGTCAAATGGTTGGTGCTGCTCATAAGGATCCCCCCTTCTTGCAAAATACGTCTTCTGGTATTCTTAGTCAAAGGAGGGGATTTCTTGGCTGTGGCGATGGGGATGAGGGAAGTAATGTTTTATCGAAAGTTCATGAGGAGAAGCGTATTATGGGGTAATTGCTGATCGCTCCCTTTTTGCTTCTCTTAACTAGCAAAGCATGTGGAATTCAGTATTACCATGTTTTTTTTTGATTAACCTGGACATCCAACCCGCTATGTGAGCCGACTAATTCCAGGGCGACCACCTGCTTTGCAGATAGCCTGGAGTCACCACATTTGAACCTCCGTGGCCACAAGGGGATTTTTATTCCTCCTTGGATTTGAACCTGGGACCTCCTGGTACTTTTGACCTTTGGRCCAAGCTCAAACCAATCAGGCACCACCCTTGTGGTTCAGTAATACCATGTTATTTACACAATAAAAGACAAGACATACTTGCATTAAATTCTCTATTGACGTTCATTTTATAAATCAAGCCTCTCATGTTGACTTCCATGATCCTAGGTGTTTGATAGAGGTTGTAAGAATAATTTTTTTAATTCTAATAATATCACCACATATCATATCAACGTGCTCCGACGCCCTGCCTGCCAATTTTTTTCCTCCCAAAACTGAAAATCTTGAATTTTATCTGTTGCTTCGCATATACCCTCATCATTTCTCAAAAAATATCCATGAATTGCGTTGACACGGTCATGCATTACTAATAGTTACATTGACAATTCCCTTACTCACAGTAGTAATCACAAAATTTTAATATCTACTTCTGCTTCTCTTCATGATGATGTGATAACTGCCCATGATGATTGAAGTTGGGCTCAATCCATATTTGTGTGCTCTTCTTTTGACAATTCACTTGATATCCTGATAGGTCTTGATCATCAAAGTTTTTAATCAACTAAAGCTATAGTATGGAGTAAAGAGATTTTTTTACTAAATAGTGGTCATTATGTTTCTTGTCTAAATAGTATCGAGCAAGTGTTAGTGTCCTGATAAGTGGGGTTAAATTTCTAGGGACTGCTGGTAGTGCGATAGTTACTGATGGTCGTGGTTACGGCTTAATTTTTGAGAGTGTTTAATTGCTTATCTGAACTTATATGATCTGATCCGCATTTGTTTCAGGTATTCTCCAGAACAATTATTTGCAGTAGTTGCCGCTGTTGACATGTATCAGGATTTTCTTCCCTGGTGTCAACGATCGGATATAATTCAACGTCATTCAGATGCGTCTTTTGATGCCGAGTTGGAGATTGGATTTAAGTTTCTTGTGGAAAGCTATGTATCTCATGTGGAAATGATAAAACCGAAAATGATAAAGGTGATAGTTTATTATTTTTCTGAACCTAGAAATTTTTACAAGCGGAACACATGTATGCTAGCACTTGTTGAGTCTCACTGGTGCAATCTGTCACTGGTGACAGGTCTTATTGTCTCGGGTGAAGATATAGGGAACTTGATAATATTTATATCTTGAAAGGGTGTGAATACTAGAGCCGTTGGAACCATGGCTGCTAAGGGCAAACAAAGTCCCCTGCTAGGTTCTAAAAGCAGCTTTCTGTAGTAGGTTACTTGCAGAAGTTTGCTTTGATTCATAACATTTTTCTTGAGGTATTAAGGTTTTAGATCTCCCTGGCTTCTAGGATGGGTTTTGCAGTTAGGTATCAGACCATCTTCATTTCTTTCTTGTAGGAGATCCATATTACTTCAAGTTGTTTTTTTAATTTGAAGACCATAAAAGGTAGAGTATATTCTTTTGGGAAAAGATCTATTGCAATGAAGAATTGTCTTTTTATCCCCTTAAAAATTGATTGGTAAATGGTTCACTGCCCCCCTGTTTTTGATTGTTGACTAATGAACTTAAGAGCTTTGTTTCTATTTGCTACACTGGTTTTTTATTTTAAATTTTTTTGGGACCCTTTTCCTTCTGTTATTATTATTTTTGTCACTTGTTCTTCCTCTTTGCAGAATGGTTTCAAATGTGCCTTCTGTAAGACATGGCTAAATGAACCCCTATTTTTCGTTCTGTTCTGGTATTGACTCTAGCTCTACTCCTGAAGACACATAATTTATCGTGCCACAACCCTCCTATTCCAAATTCACGACCCTTATTTTTCTTAAAATATCTAGCGTGTCTCATTTCTAGTGTACCCATCTAGTTTGCTTTAAGAGGCTCATTCCTTTTTGTCTCAGTTAAAGGTCATATTCTCATATAGTGATAGAGGAAGAAGTAGTCGGCGATTATGGAATCAAGATTGAGTATTTAGTTTGATTACTGTAGCGTACATTGTACAACTTGTCAACTTGCCTATTTCAAAGTGCCCGAGTTAACTGACTTGTTATTATCCTAGGTGAGGCATGGAACTAGTCATGATCCCATTGGTAAGAAGCAATGGTATTAGTACCTTTGAGCCTATTGGTGTGTCTAACTGTCAAGTTCTAATAAAATCTTGGGCTTTTCATGGTAGCCATAACAGCAAAATTTTATGCATACAAGACAGGGATGCGTTTGGTACACAGACGGGATGGAACAGACGAGAATGATAGGCGGGTGAAAAAGTTATGGAAGGTTTTAAGGTTTTAATTTGACATGGTTAGTTTAGTTATTTATCAATCTTGTCTCGTCTCCTATTTTGGTGGGACAAAAAATGCAGTCCTTGCCCTATCCCAGTCTATTGTTGTGCTAACTTATGTGGGACAACAGGTTTTCGTTCTATCATGTCCCATGTACCAAACACACCCTAAGGGGCGGTTTAGTTACAGCTTAATGAGCTTAATGGTTGGGTTGCTCCTAGCTCAGCCATACAAAACTGTTTCTTTACAGCTTAATCTTTAAACCATTAAGCCAAAATAGCTATATGGAATAAGCCAGGACCCTCATTTGCCCCATTAGGCCACCTCAAACAAATTAATACCAGAAATGCCCTAGAAATAATCCGACCCTTTCTCTTTGCCTCCCTCAAACCCATAGGTCTCTCGTCCCTTAGACGGACAAAAATATCCAGACAGAGAACTTAACCCATACAAGGCTTGATGAAAATAAAAGTAAAAAACCCCCAAGTGAGATATGTTGGTCTATCTTGGGAGTTCCTAGATGGCCGTTCCTAGATGGCCGTTCCTTTCCAACTTGATCAGAAGTGTGCAGACACATAAATCGAAAATCATCGTAAGACTGTTCTAAGTTTTTACCATACATCATGAAGACAACCTTTCCTTGCTAACAATGTCGATGCATTTTGTCTTGCTTTTGTTCAATTTCAGACAACCTCATCACAGAGCAGCCTTTTTGACCATTTAATAAACATTTGGGAGTTCCATCCGGGTCCTGTTCCAGGAACATGTAACCTTCATTTCTTTGTGGATTTTAAGTTCCAGTCACCCTTGTACTCACAGGTAATGCTCATTTTGCAAGCTCTTGAACTATATTACAACGTTTTACTATCTTGATGAATTCTTGATTCTTGAATCATATGCCAAGTCATTGCTTCTGCTCTTTACTATATGTGTTTTCTGTATTTTTTTTTTCTTTTTCCCTTTCGGTATATAAAACACCTGAAATGGGTATAAACATAAAGCAGCCGAAAAAAGGGTAGACGCCACCTTTGAGGCTCCCCCACCAGTCCCACGGTCATCATGGGGKYGGTAAATYAGYGCATGCATCCCATTGGCAGAGGAGCATATGGATTATCCCCACACCTCTATCGTTGTGACAGATCAGCGAGGTGGGACCCAACTCTAATATGCGCCAAGACTAATAAACCAAAACCAACTAGCCGAGTGTATTTCCGACGGAGGTGGGATTTGGGTGGGATGTATGCAGATTTGACCTGGAGTAGAAGAGCTGTTTTCTTCAAGACCCCAGGCTTTTGAAAATGTGTGTGAAAGTGGTCTACTGTTACTCCGCAGTTATTTCTACGATTTACTAAATGCTATTTTCCGTGATAATGATAACTTGGTTTGTGGTCATGATCTACAGATGGCATCCATGTTCTTCAAGGAAGTGGTCTCTCGACTAGTTAACTCTTTCAACGACCGTTGCCATTTGATATATGGGCCAGGGATCCCAGTTCGTGAAAAGCTTATCGAACGAGGCACTTGATCATTGTTTAACTGGTAAACGTATTGCATCAGTCACTAGTATGCAGTGCACTTGTTGGTTTTTCACCAAATCAAGCACCTATAAAAACTAGTCGATTAATATGCTAAGAAAACTACATACTCTTTTGAGATGCCTCAAGTTGGATTTTGATGATACTGCAGGTTTAAAGGTTTTGGAGCGTGGATCCCGAATCTAGATCTTGAATATGGCCAGTGGATATCTTGGTTTGATATCGGATATTTGACAATACGGGCAAATTTCTGCATCTTTGACGACTTTCTGATTCTTTTTGGTATTTTTCAATGCCATTGATTGATTCAAGATCGAGGGGGGGATTCAGGGTTGGAACCGTAGAGTTTGGAGGTTCTGTTCACCTTCAACTTCATCCTGAAAAGCTGTAGCTGTAGTTTGTTAAACTTTCCCGATGAATTTGTTCTTTTTGGCCTTCCAACACTTGCTTGTGCACACTTTGCTTAGCGTGTATCTAGCTTCTGCACAGCGACACTAAAGCGTTGGTCTTACGTCTTGTTTTTGGCCTTCCAGCACCTACTAAACACTTACCGGTCCTTATCGTGAAAGTGCCCACTTGATAAGAATAATGTTTTTTCATCGACAAGTCTTTCACACGTGATGTCGTTACCGAGATGAGGTCTTGGCAAAGGATCAAGGATATTACCCAATTTTTGTGGTAATAACAATGAATAAGAAAACTAGAAAATATTTGTACTTTTTATGAAACAATCCATGATATGTTGCATGTTTTTGGAATGGAAACAGAAATTTATCATGTAGCATGTACTAATATTAACATTTTTAATAAATAATTTATTAATTAAAAATGAATGCTTAAAACATAATTATCAAATAAATCCTAAGAAGTCTCTTCATATTTTTAAATCTAATGTTTGTGGAATTGTAATCTGGAATTCTTTTTCAAGATTAAAATGGAATCTAATTCTACAATTCTATTATTTCTTGTAAATCAAACGGAACCTTAAACGGTATAACAAATCCACATTGTTAATGTATTTATGTATAAAAAAACGTTGTTACTAACTTTATTGTTTTAAACCGTAAACTTATGCCAAGTCAACCTGCCCTCAAGGTTTGTCTAACAAATTACGTATCATTTTATTAATAGAATACAATCTATTTACTTCGAGACAGTCTCCAGAACACACACACAAATTCATCAACTCGATAGAACATTAATCATGTTCATTGAATATGATTGTATCACTCATGTTCGTCGAATAAGACGTGGGAGAAAATCGTCAGTCTAAGATGTGTTAGCATGACAATATATGGTTATAAACGAATCAAGTTATTATCGAGTAATTCAAGTTTAAAAAAAGAATAACTGTATTTTTGTTTTCAATACTTTAATTTATCATATATCTTATAACACCTAAACAAATGGTAAGTTAGATTTTAGTTTATAGGGTTGGGTTCACGTGAGACCAAGGGTTTTCCGTGAGACCCGTAAGACTAATTTATGTTCATTGATCAACTTTATAAGCTAATGATTTAATGGTCTAAAGTTGCACGATGACAATTTTGTGATTATTGAGAAGTCTTGTGGCGTTTATGAATGTTCAGATTGTCAGATTGTAGATCTAATCCAAATGTTGAGAATTGGTCTTACGGATCTCACGAAAAACCCTTGGTCTCACATGATCCCAGGTCTTGGTTTTATCTCCTGCATTTAAAACAAACGAACCAATTAAATTCTATCCGTAATTAAAATACGAAAATGAAACACATACACATCTATCGTCTACCCCAAAAAATAAAACGTGAAACAGAATACTGGAAAAAAAAAAGAACTTCTAAAATAATCTTTTAATACAACAAATGCTTACACATCTTTAGAATCTTTAGAATCTTTAGAATCTTTTGAATCTTTCTTGTGAAATCCCTTCATATTCATATTCATATTCACATTCATATTCATCTTATTCTTTCCCCCCATGAACATGAAGAATTTGGGCATAAACGACTTCTTCTTCTTCTTCGAACCCTTACCGTCCGGCGAGTTATCACCGGCGTTACTGTTACCTTCCGGTGCACCATTCTTCGACTTTACCGATCCGCCGTCTTTCTGCGGTGGTGGATCGCGGTTCTTTTGGCTCAACCCACGGAAGAACCCGCCTGCGCCGTTGCCTTTTTTCTTTTGATCGTTTTCGCCTTTCCGTTTTTGAAGCTCTTGTTCGATATTCAGTTTCGATTCTTTTGCGAGTTCGGCTTTTTGCAACGCGACGTTTAGAGCGTCTTTTCGTGCAGCCAATTCGGAGTTGAGTTGTGTAAGTTTGTTCAAGCTTTGCATTTCGGAGTCCTTGGCTTCATCGATTTGAGTCATGGCATCGGTCACCCGTTTGTTAGCCGCTTCCTCGGCTTCGTGGGCCCGTTTACTCAGCTCGTAGTATTCCTCCAACGAGATTGTAACCCCACCTTTTGGTTCTTCGTTTTTCGGCCCTCGAGCCGACTCGCTCTCGTGAAGCGCGGTAATGGCTCCGAGAGCCAGCTTTTCTGCGGCTCGTGCAGCTTCGATCTCCTTCTGAGCCGCGGCTAGTCTAGTCGTCATCGAATTGGCTCCGGCCTTGGCTTGCTCGGCGGCTTCTTTGGCTTTCTTTAGAACCAAACGAGCGCCTTCCGCCATTGATTTCGCGTTTTCGGCTTCTTCGCTTACTTTCTTCAGCTGTTTCGGGAGTTCTGCCATTTTTTCTCGAGCTTCCTGCTCTTTTCTTCGAAGATCATCGAGCTCGGATCGGGTTTTTTTGATCTCGGATTCTAAAGACACAACGGCTTCCGAGCCCAACCCTTTTTGCTTCCGGATCTTCTTCAGAACGGCTTTTTCGCTCTCGAGCTTGGCGGATAACGAATTTGCAGCGGTTTTCAAACACATGATGTTTTCCGTTGCTTTCTCGATATTGTGGTTCACTTCATCGAGATTCTTTTTCGCTTCAGCAACGCCTGCTTGTATATCTCTACGCGTAAACTTGTTACTGTTATTGGATTCATTATCGTCCAAGTCCTCGGCCATTTTCGCTTGCATGTAAACCGCTAACTCGTCTTTCAACTTTTGAAGCAAAACTGAAGCTGTATCGAGTTTTGATCTGAGATCTTTCGCTAATTGAATTTGTTGGTGCACCTTTTCGAGTTCTTCTTCTGATTTTTTCAGTTCTTGCTCCCAATTTATAGCTTCTTGATCTCGATCGCTAGTTTCTACGATTCGGTGTTCTTCGGACTCCAAATGGGCAGCATGTGTGGATTCTATCGATTCTTTTGTTGTTATCAGTTGGATCGTCAAATTTTCGACTTCTCTCTCGATTTCTTTAGCAGCAGAAACGGCTTCTTGAGCTTTCTTTATAGCCGCATCTCGTTCGGATACTAAAACAGAATAATCTTTACGGATTTCTTCGAGTTCGTCTCTTACGGAAATCAGTTCCTCGGCTGCGGCTAGATGTCGGGCTTTGGCGACCTCGAGCTGAGTCTTGGCGGCAACACTTGATTCCTCCGCGATCCCTTGCTGCAATTCTTGAAGTCGTAGCTGGGCAAGTTCGGAATCTTGTTTTGCCTGACGTTCTTCGGTTTGTGCTCGCTCGAGGTTCAGCTTCAGTTCTTCGATCAGCCTCTTGGTGCTGTCGAGATCCCGTAACGCTTGCTCTTTGGCTTTTTCAGCTTCCTCGGACTTCTTCTTAAACACCGGAATCTCCTCATTTGCCTTTTCGAGTTCTTGTTCTATGAACTTGCGTCTCTGCATCACCAGATAAACCTTTTTAGAAAATTTCACAAGGGAACCAACGAGTATACGTTCCAGTTGAAGCAAAGGTTACACTCAGCTTTCTACAACACTAAAAATGTCTAAATGTTCAAATAGATTGATTTACAAGATTTAAATTTATAGTACCAAACAATTATGCATCTTGTACTAAAAAGGTGTTTGGGATTGCTTATAAAAACAACTTATTGACTTATTTTGGTGTGACACCGGTAATAAGCATTTTTGAGTGTTTGGATAAACAACTTATATCGGTGTCAAACCGGTAATAAGAAGTATTTGAAGAAGTTAAACCCTTCTAACTTATGATAAGTCGATAAGTGTTTTTGTAAAAAAACATAAGTTGTTTCAAATAAGCAATCTCAAACACCCCCTAAAATGTTACAAGAGGATGTTAGGACTACAACTTTTTTAGTTAATTTTTAAAATAAAGTGTCATATTAGCTTTTTTTACATGATAATTTTGATAAGTGGTTATGAACACGCTTTTTATAGACACCTGTTTTTAAAACATATATAAGATCCCACATTGGTTGGGGAGGGAAACAAAGATTGCCTTACCCGATACCTCCACCATGAGCCCCGTTTTAAAACTGCGAGCCCAGGTGTGAATAAAAGTGGAATATATCTGGTACGGTTAGCCTGAGATGATATTTTCAAATAATGTCGTATAAAAAGACTACAGAACACTTTATTTCAGAACTGTCCTAACAAACTTGTTAGCAGGCCCTAAAGTGTTCTATCAACTTACTGTAACACACAAACACACGTGTATATATATATATTTATATATAGGTGGAGGTTCAAACGAGAACACCTCCATTTTACGAGAACGCGAGAACACCCTTATCACATGTGATAATACGCGTGAGGGGACCCTGTGATGTGCGGACGATGTGTTCTATGATTGTTTGGTACTATAAACTTAAATCCAGTCTATTTATAAACCTGATTTTGTTTCAGTGGTAACTAGAAAACGACTAAGATAACCAATAAGATGCATCAAAATCCGAATGTGACATACCTCATCTTTCTGAACTCTGTGAGCTTTCCAGTCAACAATTCCACCAAACTTGGAAACGGCTTCTTTAACCGATTCAAAGGGAGCAGCCGTGTCAACATGACCAACTTTCGAGTCATACTTATCGAGCTGTTTCTTTGAATCATCTTTCTCTACGTTTGAAGAACTGTTGCTATAAGATGTCTCTATATTTTTGCTGCTATTAGATGGCTCTATATTTTTGCTGCTATTAGATGGCTCTATATTTTTGCTGCTATCAGATGGCTCTATATTTTTGCTGCTATCAGATGGCTCTATATTTTTGTTGCTGAAAGATGCCTCTATATTTTTGTTGCTGAAAGATGCCTCTATATTTTTGTTGCTATAAGATGCCTCTATATTTTTGCTGCTATCAGAGGGCTCGATATTTTCATACTTTTTATGTCCGGAAGATATCGATGAGTCTGGACTTAGGAACGTCTCCTCAGCAGTACTACTAGGGGAAGCAGGGTATATTTCTTGTTGTAGGATATATGGGTCTTTTGAATATCTGTCTACAAGTTCCGATGAATTAACTGACCCATGAGCTTTATCATCAGCCATTCCAGAAAGATCAGAGAAGCCAAGTCGGCTGTTTATCTGAAATTTGATTAATCAGACAATTTACAGATTTTCGATGAACTGATATATGTATGCTGATTCAATTCTTGAACAGGATTGCAAATTTACGGGTTGATTGGAAGAAAATATATTAATGATTGAAGTAAACATGCCAAACAGTAGAATGGAATTCAAAAAGGTAATAACTTAGACCTTGAAAATGGACCAAACAAGCCCAGTAAATCCCACATAGAGGTAGGGTCTAGGAGTAGGATGTAAGCAAACTTTGCCTCTACTTGGGGTAGAGAGGTTGTTTCAGGTACAGGTGAGAGTGTGTGCAAACAAGCAATGAGTACAGGCATGAGGGAAAGACGTAAAAGAAATCGGTTAAACAAGAAAACACAAAGCCTAGTACTAACAAATACTATTACAATAAGAAAATTTAAAAACTAGTATGTAACAAACAGTCACACAAGTAGAAATAATAAGAGGCAAATAGTGCCCGGCTAACCTAAAGTCCAACATGCTACCCCTCTCATTGTCTCTCATTTTAACTACTCCGAAAAAAGCAAAAAGGAACATAACCTCCGAAATAATAAACAAAATTGACCCACATTGAGGTCCCAATTGTACGACTTTGGTATGATGTCCTTCTAACATGGATTCATATGGAACATCGTGCCACCATACAAACACGGTATATAGGATAAATACTGGCATATCAAATCTGCACTCTGCAGTGTGTGGTTCTATGGTGCTTGATCAACTTTATGATTTCTCTATCATGTCGAATTCAGATTACACAGTCTTTCTGCATTTGTTCAACTTATCTTAAAACCATTACTCTTTGCTATGTATATACACACATTGTTGATTTCAAGTTTCTTCATTTATATGACGTATGACCTCTGGGATTTAAAGCGTGCATATTGATATATGAAAACAAAAGATTCTTACCCTCTTTTCAGAACACCCTACATCAAAATGTTACACAAGCACGATCATCTGTATACCTATTTTAGCGCCATATTTTGAATCCGTGTATCTTCCTTTCTTGCGAGTGTAATCCCTTCTCTAAACTACAGAACTAAAACTTTTCAGCTCCCCCATTATTGAACCCTCACTTCAAACAAGCCTTAAAGCAACTAGCAAAGTTAGTTCTTTAGTGTTCGAACCACACAAACACTTTCTTCACAAACACAAAGGATAAACCGCATACAAAGACTTCGGTGACTAGCTAACTATCTTAAAACCATGGAACCTGACTCCCTGAGTGCACTAGGGTCACTCTTAATGAACCCACTTCCTAAAACCTTCTGTAAAAAGGCTAAACCCAATGCCGAAACAGATATGCTTATAGACTCAGCTTCAAGCCACCAGATCATGATCAGCTTCATTGATGGCCACTAAGGGTATACTTGTTTATATTTTCTATCCCCAAATGTATATAAAAAACCAACAATTTCTGTACTAGAAACCCCAAATTTCCAATGAGAATTAGGTTAAAAGAAGGAGAATTGATAAATAATCTCAAAATAGGGAAGTCCATCAAGCATTTATGAACATTTACAAGCAAATTAGATTAACTGAGCCAAAATATCATCATAATCCCTAAATAAAACCAACAATCGGAATCGATTAATCCCAGGCTTCAATTTTCCCTTACCGCCATACCTAAATAAGCAATAGAATCAAAGCAATTCATAGCTAGCGAATTCTTAACGGAACAACGATGATTCAATGAGCATCCACAAGAAAGAGTTTGAAGATTAAACTGATCACAGAAATTGCAGAGAAATGGATAGCGAGCATACAAGCAAATCCCCGGAGTCAAATCCAGAAGCTTATTGCAAAATCCCTCCGGATTTTGGCCCCCGAAAAGTCGAATGAATCCAACAAATCAACAATTATAGCTCCAAATCCACTGAAAAACAAAACCAAAACCATCATCAAAATTGATGATTAAATCATGCAATTTTTGAAACAGAAAACAATAAACATGGTGGCGGAGCATACCTCTCGATGAATAAAAAATCATTTTCTTCTCTTTAACTCTGAATGAAGATTCAAATGATACCGATTTCCCAAATGACGAACAGGATTGAATAAAATCGTGTAATTTTGTTAACCACAACATAATCTGAGAGGCAGAGCTGTTTTTCAAAAGAAATTCAAATCCCTTTATTTTATTTTATTTTGTCTATTTTTAGATGATCTGATATTTGATTGCGAGAGGCTTGCAGATGCTGCCATTGTTTCTCCTCTAAATATAGATGGATTCGACCCATGCAGAACCTTCACGCCTCGTCAATGGTGTTTTTGAATTGGAGCGGGGGTTAGTTTTGTAAATTGATCGCGTTAGATGAGAGTGTGGGGGTCCCAGTTTTGGACGGTGACTAAGGTCAGTGAAGGAAGAGAATAGAGGTTGGTGCAATGAATTGACTTAACTGTCCTTTACGCCAATATCTTGAGCGAAACATCGTGTGCGAGAAGAAGAGTTAAGGTGAAAAGCGTAACAAGAGATCTTGATTCTTGATCGTCTTTAATTTCAAACTTGCATATGAATCATGCTTGACGGAATTGATTCTGTGTATCTCATTCTAACGTACATCCAATGGTGGAATCTCTTCTTACGTTTATTTTTATCTTAACTCTACTTCTCATTAGAATCCAACCGTCTTCAAATAATATATACCATAATTGACAAAGGTTGAGAAATTAGAATATAATTTAATTAGGTTTGATTATGTGTGTAATTGACGGGACTGAAATGAAATCCATCAAATGAATTAATATATGTTTGGTTGGTTTATTGAATATGACTTCAGATTGTAATAAATTAATGACTAGAAGGGTACTCGTACAATGTAGCGAGATACATCTTTATTTTAATGTTTCGTTTTATTTTTTGTTTATGTTGATATAATACGGTTTATGTGGTTTTGAGAAAGATAATGTTTTTACTTTTGAATAAAAATAAATTTGAAGACATCATAAATTTTGAAAAAATATATCGATGTTAATATCAAATTAACTATTTAAAAGTATTTGTTTTTTGTACAATTTCTTTAATTCAAATTTTTATTATAATTTAATTTAAGTCAAATATTGAAGTAATTTATTTTTGACTTAACAATAATTTTTTTATAAAAATAATGATTCTGTTAGTTATCAATGATTATCTTAATTATATTTTAGATTTTTTATATTTAAAGCAAGATGTTTATCCTATATTTGATTATGTTTATCTGCAGTTAGTTACACGAATTTATATATAGAGCTTTAATAAGTTGTACATACGTACAATTTATTTGTAATCTTAAATTTTAAATAATATACATCAATAAACAGTACTTAATGCATAAAAAATGATTTTTAAATTTTTTTATCAAATATTTTATAATATACTATAGATTAATGAACAACATATATGACATTTTCATGCTTTATCACTTAAATTCTAAAATAACATATAATGATAAAATTAAGGGTAAACTATAAATTTGGTCCTTATAGTTTGTCAAAAGTTACATTTTTTATCCTTGCAGTTTTGATGTTACAAGATGATCATTATGGTTTGCAAACAGGGAATTTTCCTATTCCTTTAACGACAGTCAAACAGGGATAAAATTAAGGGTAAACTATAATCTTGGTCCTTATTTTAGTGTCACTTTAATCGTATTAACGAAAACTTTTTAATGACATGTTTTATTATAAAAATATTTATTTTAATATAATTTAATAAACAACTCGTAAATTGGTCATTTTATCTGTTCTATCACATCCAAATATGTTTTATCAAACGCTGAACAACTATTATGTCCTATACTATTATATCAGTTTTCCTTTAAATGTTTTTTATAACACTAGAAGGGTACTCGCACAATGCAGCGATATACATCTTGATCTTAGTATTTCATTTTATTTTTTTATCTCAATCGATGTTATAATATGGTCTTATGTGATTTTGAAAAAGCGACGATATTTTCATTTTTGAATAAAATCTAAATTTGAAGATATCATAAAAAATTTGACAAAATTATATCGATATTAATATTAAATTAACTATTTAAAATTCCTCATTTTTTTGTAATTTTTTAATTCAATTTTTTTAATTATAATTTAATTTAAGTTCAATAACGAAGTAATTTATATTTGGTTTAGTAATATAATTTTCTTATAAAGATAAAAGTTAATTATTTTGTTAGATTTCGATAATTATCTTAATTATATTTTAGATTTTAAAATTTTAAAATGAGATGTTTATCCTTTATTTGATTTTATTTATCCACAGTTAGTTATACGAATTTAAACATGGAGCTTTAATAAGTTGTACTTATGCATAATTTACTTGTAATCTTGAATTTTAAGTAATATCATCAATATATAATATTTTATACATAAAAAATTATTTTTAAAAGTTTTCATCAAATGTTTTGTAATATAATATAAATAATCAGAATGTACAGTCTGGAAAGAGGATCCGGCTTTTTCTTTCCCGACATTATACATATAAAGCACAATGATACTTTTACACCTTTAATAGAAATCAATCCCATCGCATGTTTTAATTAACCAAATTCTCCTTTGCGAATCCGATTCTTCAAACCAAATGCACGTTTTCCTTATTTACTCACAAAAAATTCTTGAAACTTACCTCTGTAATATATATATATATATATATATGTATGTATATATATATATATGTATATATGTATGTGTGTGTGTTATTTCATCATAAACACAGACCAAGAGGATGCATAAAGGACATATAATTGGGCGAAATGGTGTACAAGAGTTGACATTGGAGGAGTTCAAGATATGGTTGATGACATTTGATGTGAATAAAGACGGTCGGATTAGTAGAGAAGAGCTCCGGGAAGCCATCCGTTTCAGAGGAGGTGGTCGCATCACCACCCTGATCAAGGGGCGGTGTGGGGTGAAATCCGCCGATGCCAACCGCAATGGTTTCATCGATTACGACGAGATCAAGAACCTCGTGGAGTTTGCAGAAAAAGTGTTGCATCTGAAGATCGTCGATGCTGGTTTCCAACAACAAAACCTTGGCGTCGTGTCGCGTTCTTGGACTTTTTGTCGTTGAAACTTGAATAATTTACGTGTAGTTTGATAGTGTTTGATGTCATTTGTTCGTGTGTGATATGTTTGAGACGTCGAAACAATGAAAAAGACGTTAGAAATAATTGTTAATTCAAACCCTTTTTAATTGTTGCATTCAATACGATTTGATGTACTAAAATCTTACTCATCAAAATAAATTATAGTGTTAACTTCTATAGATAAACACTTACTGGGTAAGCATTTGGGTAAACAACCTCTAAGTGACACTTCCCCATCAACATTTTAGAACTTCCAAAAACTACTATTTTATGAACATGAATTTTACAAGTTGTTAAAGTGCTACTTGAGAAATCGATCTCAAAAGAGAAGTATTTTTTGTAATGAAATTTATTATAAGGTGAATATTTTATGCCAACGTATACCTACATGAAGAACATTACAAATTCAAATGAACAAATTTGAATGCTGCTAATTCTACTGGAAATTAAAGTTTGGACACACATTCTTTAGATTCCTTTTCGACGCAATCGGGCAGGACGTCAGAAAATACATCGCTACATCTCTTACCGTATGCTAGCAATCGGGTTTATTGTGCAGCTGGCCGTTCACTCGCATCATCGTTCACGAGAGCAAGATCATATCCCTGAACATCAGCAACACAATCAACTTGAAGAGTTTGATATCGCTCATGGACTTTAAACACAAACGACCATGACGCCTTTGATCAGTCGAAAGTTGGAGGCGGAAGTTTCCGGAAGTTCCGTGAGTTGTAATCCTCCCCCAAACGAAAACCAGATGGGGAAGCATGGATGTTATGTTGTACCCCCTCCATACCAAAATAAATGTCCACGAGAATAAAAGACATACAGTTTTAGAAATGTGTAATTATTACACTTTTCAATTAACTAAATGACAATTTTACCCTTAAAATTAGACGGGTATTGAATTTCTCTATTTCATAGTTAAGGGTAGAATTGGAAAGTAAGCAACTTAGTTTGAAAGTGGACACTTATTTAGGGAGAAACTAAAATAGAACAGTGGACGCTTATTTTAGAAACCAAGGCGGTACGATTTGTTGGTTTAGTTATGATAGTAGTGTAAGGCGAAACAAACCTCCTTGTGCACGCATACGGGCGGGAAAATGCCGTTGACAATAGTATGAAGGGAGGAATATGATTTTGGGTCGATACAACGGTTTACAACAACCTCTCCCTGTCAAAAAAATCCAGAAAAAAACATAGCAATAATCGTACTTAACGAACTGACATCATGATTAGAATCAAGTGATTAAGGGTGATACTATGTACCTTAGGATTGATGATGAAGATTTTTCCTTTCGGTATTCCAACCTTGAGGTAGCTAAACTCATCGGTGTCTCTATTTCCAAAACCAGCAAAGAACGGATTCCAATCAGCCGGAAAACACGCCCTGATATCCTGGAAATTTGAAACCTTTGTGAGAAATCGCTTGCTTCGGTATAAATAGTAACGAACTAAGAACCAACCTCCAAGCAAGAAATCTTGAATTCGTGAGGCGCTCTTCGAATAACTGCAAGAAAAACGAGAGTAAACGTTAGTGGTATATTGATTCATGACGCCATCTTCCTCTCTTGCTTCTAATCTACTAAAGGGCCGTTTACTAAACACTTGTGTGGTAAGTGCTTACCGGATAAATTTCCTTATCGGATGAACATGAGAAGGGCCAAGAATCTTACCGGGTAAGAGCGAGGAGAAAGGTGGAGAGTCTTACCCGGTAAGTGAGGATCACGACTCTTATCTAGGTAAGCGCTTATCCAGTATGTTTTGATGTATAAAAATCTTGCGCATCAAAATAAATCATAGTGTTAACTCCTATCGGTAAGCTCTTACCGGGTAAGCAATTGGGTAAGCGGGCCCAAGATACATTACATTATAAAATAGAAACCTCGAGTTACACGACACGCAGACTGTATTTATAAAACTTATAACCAAGATGAAAGGGCAATAACCCGTTCGCCGTGCAATCGACATATTTAATATTTATAAACAATTTAATACATTAAATAAAAAATAAAATATGCGTTATGCAATCGAAACCGTTGATTTTGCAAACTACAATTCAGACAGTTTTTCGACATCACGGTATGAGGATCATAATTCACTCATCAAAGCTTCAATAAAGGTGATCCGAAATCTCAAATAAAGATAACAGAAAGACCTATAACTCCTAATATTTGAGCAAAATGTTGATTACTGGCAACCTTGACAGACCACACCCCTTAGGAAACACATGTGAGGAGGCATTTCAGAGCTGACTCAGCGGCTGAGACTAGCGGAGGGGTTCAAGACCTATAACTTTTAACATTGATCTTGAGAAATCTAAGATGGTTCCAAAAGAACAAAGTAACTTGATTTCTTTCTATATAAACCAAGTCAAATAAATAAAAATACTTGCTTCAATTTTGTAGTCAAAGAAATTATTTGATGTTCAGTTGTCAACCTTTTGACATTTTTGTTTAAATTTAACCTCGTGTTTCGTTAATGCGATACACTAAAGAGTTACCTTCACGAAACAGTGACGGAAAGAGTCCATCAGGGGAAATAACGACAGGTCCTTCGGGCAAAGCCTTTCCTTCCTGCAAAGAGAACTCAAACAAAGAACTCGAATAACTTCAAGAGAAAATATGAGTGAAATCTTTGCCTTGAATTTACCTGCTTAAGGTTGATTAAGAACTGTCGAGTGACATCGGCTTGAGAAATTGACCGAGCACTGAGAAACAGAATTTGGTATCCGTTTTCCTACAACACAAAAACATGACAATGAAACCATGATATCACAAAAGATACACACTCCCTCCATCCAAAATTGATTGCATTGTTTGTGGGGCGGACCCCTATGGTGCATAGGTGGCATGGGCCATCATTTCGTTCCTCTGCCGTAGTGTAATTTTTTAGGGTAGTGAAAGGTGCCACCATATTATTCTGCAGGGTGCAACCCGTATATTAAGTCATTTGTACGGTCTTTTCTCCCCTTCAACTCGCAGGTTCAAATCCCAGTTCTATCATTTTCTTGGTTTTTAGCTTTTAGTTTCAGGTTTATTATGTTACTGAATTCTTTTGGGATAAAACTTAAAAGACTCGGACAAAGGACCTCATATAGAAAAAGCAAGGAACTAACCAACAGACCAATAATGATTTTGTAAAAAAATATCCATAGCTTCGTTTTTATAGTCAAAGGGTGCCCACCACTTGAAAAAATCTCTAGGTCGCCTCTGGTTGTTTGACCGAGAACTATCTGGTCATTAGTATTTGACTATCAGTTAAATGTCAAAACTACCCTCATTAAATCATAACAGGGGCAATCTTGTGGATCAAAATAAGCATCATAAAACTATTGTGATTATTAGCATCTCTCTCTCTCTCTATATATATATATACATATATATATCTACATGTGATTAAATGTTTAAGACAACAAACCTTGATAGCCGAAAAGAGATGTGTTACGCCTATATGTGACCAGTCTCTTCCAACCAAAGGCATGAACTGTCCTAGAACATCAGATCTGTAAAACAAGATCGGGAAGAATATAAAATTCTGGAAGGATGGGAATATAGGAACATGTTTAAATCCATTTTTTCAAAGGGAGCTCTTGGTGCACCGAGGATCATCAGCTTCTGAATGGAAGCCATTTTTTGCGTTTAGGGTCTTCAATACTTCGAGACACCTCAAATAATTGGATATGTTATATGTATGGTTATAAGAACATAAAATGTATACACTCCCGCTGCTTGTTTCTATTTATATGTGTTGAGAACCTAGGTTTCGTGGTTACAATCACTTGGATAATTCTTGGATCATGTATTGTTAGCACTTTCCAAATACTATATTTCGACCCTTTTATGTCTTAGATTTCACGAAGCAAGTATTACCGTAATAATCCAATAATTCACTCTAGTTTCAAAGCAGAAAACTCAAGTATATATACACACTAGATTAACCGTTTTACATATTTATAAGAGAGATCAACGGTTACGGGTGAGTTAGGCGGTTAATAAATAACTACTCAGCAGTTATAACTGCTTATGGATAAGGTTGAAAACAGATTAGAGGCTCTGGGTCAGAAGACTCAGAAGCTTCTTCTGACTCGGAACCCTTCTCAATCAGAAGCTTCTGATGCAAACACAAAGGCTTCTGAATCCATACTTGGTCTCCAAAACACCAAGTTTAACCTTCTGAACTTCATTCAGGATGTTTAGAAACTTATAATTCCAAAATAATCCCCTTCATAAAATCAGTAGAGGTCAACGCCAGGGGCGCTGCCCCTTGGAGGGCGGTATTTGCGAGTGTGCACTCTGCATCTCCTACTCACATTATGTTTTCCTAGTCACCTATTGATGATACTAAAATCACCAATAATATGTTTTCTCACTCGTTTTCTCTTTTCAAGTTCTTTCATAATTTTTATAGGCTCGTTATTTTTGTGTTTTCTAGAATGTGGCATCCCTGTAGAATTTGACCAATTTAGATGATGATGCAATTCAGAAACCCCCTTAAGCAACTTTAGAAGGTGTTTGTCCGGTCTATATGCTCAATATAAAGCAACAAAAAGAACTATCCATTGCCTGAATATAACCAAAAAAAAAAACTTACTTGGTAATTGTTCCATCAACATCTGAGATCACAATGTGAGAGTCCCATCTCCACAGAAAAATTCTGGCATAAACCTGAACAGTATCTGCATAGTGTAAGCAACATAACACAAACTATACAAACAAAAAGACATAAACCTGATCACGAACGAAAAAAGACTGCAAACCTGTTGATTCCCGAGAACTGGCGTTGAAAACTTAAAGGTTACTGTGTTTTTTCCCTCTGTAAGATTCAAAGACTCTAGTTGTTCGGGTGTTGGAGTGAGTTCTCTGTGCATCTTATGTGATTTCGATAAAGGGTCTTTTTCTCCATCGACCTCTGACGCACAATCAAAATCAGAATCTTTTTTACAGTCATGTTCTTTATGAGAAAACTTTTTACTTCTTGATCTTTTAAAGGGCCAAAGGCTCCAGCTTTTATCAGTGCCATCATGAATGTTGGAGGGATTACCTGAAATAGGTGTTCCATAAGACATCACCATTGTTGCATATCTAGCACAACACTCACTACAACAAAATTAGGTTTATAGAACGTCTAAACTGTCCAAGTGTTCTAATAGAATACTTTTTTAGGACTTACTTATATAGGACCACACAATAAAGCATCCTATCTAAAAAAGTTACAATAGGTTTACAAGACGTTTTGGATGTTTTAACAAGTTTTTTAGAACACTTTTAAAATAAAGTGTCGTATTAGCTATTTTATAAGACACTTCTCAAAGTGTCCCATAAAATAGCTAATACGATACTTTATTTTAAAAATCTTCAAAAAAAACTTGTAAAAACGCCTAAAAGCATCCTATAAACTTATTGCAACACTTTTAGATAGGACACTTTATTGTTTGGTCCTATAAACAAAGTCCTATAAAACATTCAATTAGGACGCTTAGACTTGTTAGACATCCTATAAATCCAATTTTGTTGTAGTGACTTCAGTTCCATATGGTCACACTCACAAACTAATATTAACCTTTGAGGTCAGGATAAATAAGATTCAACTTCAGAATTAGTATGATTTTCAAAAGAGATATAATGCACAACTTTGAGGTTTAAAATTGGTTCGTTTGACATCAAAAATCAAACCATAAATTTTTTTTACACAAGGTTGCAATAAATAATTGTCTTACCACCTGCATTACTTCCGTCTTTAAGATTCTTTGATTTAGTATCTGCAGACTGAGAATCAGATAGTTGTTTATCGCCTTCTTTTATGATCCTTGAAGCATCTTTCCTGAGTATGTCCCACTTAGAGAATTTTCGTTTGGAATCAAGACAGTAATACGAAGAAGCATCAAGATTATTTGGATTAAATTCATCAAACTGTGACCACATATTGGGCAGAGACTTGGCCTGTGTTCCAGTTTCCTCTTCTGTAAGTTGACAATTCTTGACTATATCTGCATCACTTGGAAACCTTCGAATATTTCCCTTCGGCCCCTCCATATCATCTTCCTTGATCTCCTTATGAAATGTGCATGGAGATGAATCTGAACCATGGTTCACTTCTGAGGTAGATGGGGGTTGAGTTTCTTGCTCTAAGTGGTTGGCACTTGAGTTTCTATCATCAAGATCACTGAACGTAAACTGTTCCTCCACAACCCTTTCTGGTGGTTCCAAAAGAGATGCATTTGAACCATCTTGAAATTCACCGTTTGACTTCAATGGCGATTTGATTTTATCGGTTTCATTTGCATCACTCGTACCCTTATCATCTTCAGCTCGACAAACAGAAACTTCAACAACATTAACTTCTTCTGAAACATCTCCTTGCCGGATACAAGCAACTTCTGTGTAACTTTCCTCCACAGCTTTTGAAGGCTCTTCAGCTGTTTCTGGCCCATTAGAACCATCCGACCCAACTTTTAAGGTCTCACCGTTTTCCAAAGAACCCAAATCTCCTTCATAAATTTCTACATTGCCATCACTGTCAGCATTTGCTACAATAACTTTATCAACCTCCTTTGCAACTTTAGTGTTTCCCTCATTATCCTCCAAATTATTTACAAAGTGTTCTTCATGCAAAACCAAGCTGGCCTCCAATTTTCCACTAGTAATCTCCCCATCATCCTGGTTAACTCTTCCATCATTTCTATTGTTAGTTTCAGAGGGAAGAGTGGTAGACCACTTCATTTCCAAAAGATCAGCAGCAATCTCAGCACTCTCTCTGGAATTCCTCCTACCAACACTTAAATCATCTTCTTCATTATCGCTCCTAGCTTTCCTACTAAAAACAAACCCTAAATTCCTAGAGAAAGACTTGGAATCATTCACATCAATCAGTGAATTGCACTGATCAAAATTAATATCAAGACTTTTAGACTTAATTGGCCTAAGGCGTCGGCCTTCCCTATCGGGTTCGCCTAATATTTCCTCAGGATCTACATCTTCCCGGAGAAAGTAAGCCTCCCCTCTAGGATTCAAATACATATGAAAACCGGCTTCGACCCCGTTAACATTTATGTCAACAACTCTCTCTTTTGCTTTGAGAACTCCTTGAAATTTCCCAAATCTAACATACCAAGGAGATGATTTCAAGCTACCATCTTCGTGTTGAACCACAACGATATCTATGGCCCCACCAAACGGATGAAAGGGACCAGAGACCGTAGAAACCCCCCGGGTGATATAGCTGCTTAGCCTGCCTACAGCATACATCTTGCCCTAAATTAGGAGGTCTGAGGGTTCACACACCCACTTCACCAAAATCACATCACCAATTTGAATAATTATAATAAATTAACACCCAAATCTTGTAGCTCTACCAGTAGGATACAATAAGCTCTAACCATTTAAATTTCCCAACCAAGTCGGTGGCAGTCGATTATATCAAGATTTAAAACACCCAATTGATTGCCCACACAAATGTGAAGCTATTTCTAAGCTCAACACGGTTCGACACAACCACCCCCAAAAAAAACAAAACTCAAACTCAAAACCTCAAATGAACATTAACAACGATTAAAAATGAAAAACTTACGATCAAAAGTTTCTAAATTTATATACATGCAGACAACCCATTTGATGAAAAACCTCAATAGAAAAACAAAAAGGAACAACCAACATCAACAAGATTGAATTCATATACAGTCTAGAAATGCGGAAAAAAAGGTACTCTTAATCAAAGATTCAAACGTAAATGATGGATGAGAGAATCCGAGAAAATGACACCCCCACCTCCCCTGGATTCTCTTTTGAATCAAAATGCAAATGGGCAAAGAAGGGGCTGGGCCAAGAGAGTCTAACCTGGAGAGAAGAAAAACAGAGAGATTGAAGGAGGCACGGTTATTTTGCGACCGAGGTTCTTATTGGATTTTAGTTATTTTCTTGAAAGATCGATGATGGAGAGCATAAGTAGTTAATGGAGGTGTAGAGGGAGGGAGGGAGGGAGGGAGGGAAGGGGGACATAATCGTCCGTTCCTGGTTTTTTATCTCTTAACTGATATAACCTTCCCATATCTGCTTCTGTTTCTTTTGAGTTTCCCTTTTCCATTCAAATGCCCCATTTTTATTATATTTTTAAAATATATAAAATATAACTGAAAATTAATAAAATAATTATTTTCAGGCTTTAAATTCATCTTTTAGTCATTTCTCTTAAAAAATTTAAAAATATTACTAAGTTTACAAGTGTCACCTTCTCAAAAAGAATAAAATATTAAAAAAATATGTTTTTGAACCAGGTCTGTAAATATATGGATCAAATCTATAAATTATCATGTTAATTTACAGATTTGAACCATAAGAAAGTCTATTTGATTTTTATTTAATATATTTTCAATTAATTTGATTTTATATTTATTTTATCATATATCTATATTATATTATAAAACATTTGATAAAAACTTTTAAAACTCATTTTTTATGTATGAGTGTTGTTTATTAATACATATTACTTAAAATACAGGATTACAAGTAAATTGTGCATAAATACAACTTATTAAACTTTCATTTTTGAATTTGTGTAACTAACTGCAGATAAACATAATCATATAAAGATAAACATCACATTTTAAATATAAAAATCTAAAATATAATTAAGATAATCGTTGAATTATAATTGAAAACTTAATTATTATTTTTATAAAAAAATTAT